CTCTGATTGACCCGCTCCATATCCCTTGACGTTGTGCTCCATGGCAGCGGACTTCCCACACCACCCGGTTGCATTGGTGTCCTTTTCGATCTCGAGGTCGGAGACCGACGAGTCTTCCACGCTGTCAACGGGGTTAAAGCCTTCACCCGATTTAGCGAGGTCTGCATAGTCCTTAAACGTCAGTTTATCTTTGTGAAGATCAAACCTCAAGATCTTGCATCGAGCAACGAATGTCTCGAACGCGCCAGTTAGAGCACCGTTGTCAGGCGGCCACAAGCAGTGCGCCGCTTGAAATCTATGGTTTTGGGACTTAGGCGCAAAGACGAGTCTGAGTTTTGACGGTACTCTAGTTAGACCAGGCAGCGGAAATTAGGGGAGCTCAGGGCGCCCTTGATTTTGAGCGCGCTGAACCTTACGGGTAACCCTCAAAGATGGCGAGATGGGTGGTCGCACTCGACACATCAATGGACCGTCATTTCCGGCCGTTCAGAGGGTTACACCCGGATTGGCCTGCCGCGGAGAGGCATCGCGGGAACTGACCTCGCAGCCACATTTTTTGCGGCATACGACCGGGGCCGAAATGAGGCCTCAAATTTTTGTCTATTTTAGTACCATAATTAAAGATGGGGAAAAGGGATTACGACCAGTAGAAGAGAAGGGAAAACCATAATATCCCTTAATTTCTTTATTTTTTACAGCATTTAATTCAAGAAGGAATCCCTTGTTATTGTATGTTCCCGGCAATGAAATTAAAAACATAGAAAAATATAAAAAATGGTAAAAGAAAAAAGAAACAAGCAATTCGGCCATTTATTTAAATTTTCTCGGAATTTAATTTTGGGGAACTTACAGTTAATTTACTATTTCCGACAATAGAATTAAGGAAAGGGAAGAATGATGAAAAATGATGAAAGGGACGAGAACCCATGACTATTGGGAGATTGGCCTAATTTCGCCTCGATTACCCGCCATCAGCTCTGACTCCGGATTGATCATTTTCCCCGGATTTTAACAAGTTAACACTACTGCCGATGGTCGAGGTTCCCTGCGACGCTTTCCCTGGTGTGCTTGATTACTAACATTCCCGCAGTTGAGATGTTCTGAGAGCAGGASTCGCATGGATAGCRTGGGGTGRTGCTGYCTTGGGTCGACTAYGGTGTTTGGTTCGGTACGGATACGAGGGTCGTTACGGAGTGGCTACGTCCTACGGTGTCTGAAGTGCTTCAGGTACGGTATGGGCCCCGTGACAGCTGTCTCACTACGGTGACTTATTTTCAGGTTTGGGACAGCTGCGGTGATTTATTCTCAAGACCGGGGCCACTACGACAGTTATTCCAGGCGGCAGTTTGTTTTCAGGTCCGGCAACGTTGCGGCATTCTATATCAGGTTCGGGACAGGTTATCATGGCATGATTGTACGGGTTCGACATCTGCATGGCACAACAACCCGGTACTGGATTTCGAGTTTGGTCAGGTTCGGTGGCATCGCGTTGTTTCGTTTCAGGTTTGACGCGCTCACGACAGTTTGTTTCAGAACCTCTGCGGTGATTTAGTTTCAGGTCCGGGATCATTGCGACGGTTTACTTCAGGTTCGGTACTATTACCGCGCCGCTGCATCTTGCCGTGTTCGACATGTTTCAGGCACGTTATTGGTTCCGCATTGGCGTGGCACACGCCACAGCATCATTTTCAGACTTGGTAGTGGATCAGTATCGACACAGCGCGAGGCACGGGAACCCTGGATGGTTATATCACGTTCGGCTTCGGTATGGTAAGAATTACAGCGCGCCTGACTGAGTGATCCGGGTTTGACATTGACAGGTACGGATTGCGGAGATATAACGTCGAGACAAGTTCTAGCTGGCTAGTTCAAGGTTCGGAATTGGTATGGTGATGCCGCAACTTGTTCCATGGGACACCGCAACGGGGTACCACTATTTTCGTGTGTGTACTAGCCTGGGACACTTACGCGCGCTGATCTTGCGATCGGTCGGAGATTGCCGCATTTGCTCCGGCTCTCTGGGACTTGGTACCGTCAAACTGCCGGTATACGGGTAGTGTGGCCAGCGGCAGATAGAAGTGTAAACCTTTAGACAGATGCAGACTAAGAGGGGGTTGGCTGCAAAGCTTTTTTTTTTTTTTGTGGGATTGGGCTCAGCTTGCCTGGCTCAGGGGACTACTTCTGCTACCCAAAGATCACAGGTACTGCAGGGTCAAAAGGGCCACGCGGTTTCGCAAGGTACCGTGCGGAAACTGGCAGTACAAGTGGATCCGCATGGGGGTCCCTGCCCCGACGCCGTGGCCACTACGGGCCTAAGTGCTTAGTCGCTCAGATATCATTGAACCGCTAAAGCCCGTGGCAAGGAGGGGGATGTAGGGGACTATCTTGGCTCGGAACCATTGCGAAACTCGTCGGAGCTGTCTACGCCGGTGGGCTGGAGCTGGTGCCTGGGTACTGTGGACGCCCAGCCTGTGAGACCGGTACCACTGTTTTCTTTTTCCTCCGTGGCGCGGCGGACTATTTCCTGCACACTTGCACTCCGAGAAGGCGCTAGTCGGTCAGACCATGGGACTGAAGGGGATATAGGGGAGAACAGTGAAGGGAATGGGATTGCATGCCAGGTGTGCCCAGCGTCAAGCAGTTGCAGAGTGGGAGACGAGCTCGAGGCGGAGACGCGTCGGCGCTCAGGCGGTTACTTGCGTGTGAGAGGGAGAGTGAGAGAGAAGGGGACTGCACAGCGGGAGTGAGAGACTACGTGAGAGAGAGAGCGGACAGAGTGTGAGAGAGAGAGCGGACTGAGTGAGAGACAGAGAGAGAGAGGACCGAGTGGAGGAGAGAGAGAGCGGACTGAGTGGAAGAGAGAGACAGCGGACAAAGGGAGTGAGAGAGAGAGCGGACTGAGTGGAAGAGAGAGAGACCAGACTGAGAGAGTAGAGAGCGGACTGAGTGAGAGAGACAGAGAGAGGAAGGGAGAGAGAGATACTGCACAGTGAGAGAGAGAGACTGTGCAGTGAGAGAGTGAGGAAGAGACTGTGTCTATGAGAGATGTGTGCGTGAGAGAGAAAGAGAGGGAGTGAGAGAGAGATAGACTTTCTGGCATTCCCGCTGCTAGCGGGGGTACTTGTCAGTGTGACCAAGCAAGCGGACCCTGCAGCAGGTCCTCATCAATCAAATACCAATGTGAGATTCCCACTGCTAGCGGGGGTGCTTTTAAGTGTGACCAAGCAAGCGGATCCTGCTGCAGGTGCTCATCAGTGAAATACTAATGTGACATTCCCGCTGCTAGCGGGGGTATCAGTGTGACCAATCAAGCAGATTCGCT